TAAGCCACAGATTTACTCTTGTTCTTCTGTATCAAAGACATAGTTTTGAACTTTGATGTAAGTTAGGCTTGCGTTTGTTAGTAAGCAACAGAGAAGCATTGGAGGTATGGTCTGGAGTTGGTGTAGAGGCTCTATGGCATCATCATTGTCCCAGGTTTCTGTCTCTGGCCTCTGGTATAGTAAGTAGATGAATTTCATTCTCATGATTACAAAATGGCTGCTCTGTTTCTGGATTTAAGTCTTCCTTCCAGGTAGGAAGAAGGAAAGAGTACACAGGCAAAAGTATATGTTAGTTGAAGCTGTGCTTTTTATTGGAAAAGCAAATAATTTTTTGGAGGACATACCTAATAATCTGTTTATATCTCAATAGCTAAAACGACCATATGGCTATCCCACCTGCAAGAGAAGCCCAGGGGAGGAAAACAGTTTCAGCTGGGCATGATTCCACCCTGAATAAAAGTGGGTCTGTCCAAAAAAAGGAGAGATAGATATTGACTAGGCACTTGCTGTATCTCCATGGATGTGAATCTCTCTGTACCTTTTCATTAGTAATATGAAGAGTACCACATGCTATTTTTCGTAAACTCACCTAAGCATATCAAGGACTGTCCCTAAACTTCAAACTCATGTTGGGATAGGAACAGAAGGCTAAAATTGCAAAGTAAGCCTCTAGAAACAATAAACTATGACCTTTGCAACATGATGTCTCAATAAACTCATCAGGAGACTCTAATAAAACCACAAAAGCAGGATGTTTGCATGAAAGGAGATTTTTTTTTTCAACCAAGAACAAAATCCCTCTAGCCTCACTGACTCATACTCAACTTAAAATCACTCATTTCAGAAGTCCCACAGCTGGATAATACCCGATTACTTTCCCACCAGGTGTTCTGTAGATAACACCTCTGATATATGGGCCATGATAACAGTTGTGTGGGTTTCTTCCCAGGGTATTGAAGGCTGCCTCTGTTGAGAACATGGACTCTCCACATGGGCCTGCAGATGCCCGATGCATGACTAAGATGAATAAAAGGCCTGGCATCTGTGTCTTCATAATGTGTCTGTCCCTTTGCTGGCTTAACCTCTGAGTCAGATTCTGCTCAGTTCCGCACATGGACATGTTGACCATTTACAGACAATGATACAGGGTTGGTCTGGCCTATTGTTTGTTAGAGCTGGTGTGTGTTTCTCCTACCTTTTTAAGTCTTACCGGACTTGAAATTGATGATAAAACTTTTCTGAGAAAATGTTTTTTCCATTCATTAAATAAATATAAATAAAGCTTGTAATTGTGACCCCAAACCTGGAAAACAACAACAAGAATTTGGAGCACAATTAGCCCTAAAAAATGTGAAAAGAAAACTGTGCTTTTCAAAAGCTAATAGGCTATAAATTTTTGCTTAATATATATATATCAAAGGAAGTCTTATAACGTTTTTCATTTTTTTTTTTATTTGGGGGGAGGATCTGGGGATTGAAGCCAGGGCCTTCACACTGAGCTATATTCACAACCTTTTAAAATTTTTTTGAGGTAGGGTCTCCCTGTCATTAAATTACCTAGGTTGGAAATCATTTAAAGATGAAGATACAAGGTACTGCGTATGTTTCATGGCTTCAACAGGAAAACCCAATGAAATGGTGTAAGATTTTGTGCACAATGTAGAATTGTGGTTAAGGGAGTGTACTCCTTTTTTAAAAAAAATTTTTATTGGTACGTGTTTGCAATACACAATGGTTACACTCATCATGGGGAGTTGCTGCTGCCATGAGAGGGGCAGTGTGTGAGAAGTTGGTGCCATGGTGGTGACAAAAATTTGCCCGTAGTCAAGAAATATAGAAAAGTTAAAGGTTTATAGATAAATTTCAAGAAAACAGTAGGCGAGTCTAAGAGACGACCATGCAGTCAGGGAGAAAGGCTGAAATTTTCATATTTGCTTTTAATGTGAGGAGGACATCTCAAAATGTCATCCTAGGAACACATCATCAGGTCACAGTACTTTTCTCGTCTACCTTTCTCAGTTCTGAGGATAACCAGATATTGTTTGAAGACTGAATACTATTTTGTTCCAGAGTCCAGTGCTCCTGATGTAAAAAATAAAGAGTACTTCTGAGTAGAATTAGTTAACAAATGTGTAAAAATTGACTAGTGTTCATGATCAAAGTGTCACTGGACTGAGTCTGAGGAGGTTCCTGCAGCTGAGATTAGGAACCTAACCCACCCTAAACATAGAATGTTTAGAAGTTTGCTGACTCCTGTCACAGAAAAAGAATTTTCAGGACTAGTCAGTAAGAAGCATGGGAAAGGTTTTATTAGGCAGAAATTAAAAGATACCTGCTCAGAGGAGTAAGAGTGTGTGTCCTCAGGAGAGAAAAACACACTACAGTATAGAACTCAGAAAATTTAGGTGGTGTTGGGAGTGTCTTTGTAACTGGGTTTGGGGGTGCAGGAGTCTCCTTCTAGAGGTGGTTTCTAGGTTCTTTCTGTCCTGAGCATAGAATTGGACAAGATAAGTATAAAATGTAGCGAGGTTTTACATTTATTAAAGGTTAAAAAAAAAAAAGAAAAATATGCTCTGCAGAGCAAGTGTGCAGAGCAATTTTACCAATTAAAAAAGTAGGAATAGAAGTGGGCTCTATAGCGTGAAAGCTGACCATTGTGAAAAAGCACAGTGGTCCAGAGCTCAGTGGTGGCCATATTTGGATCTCCCACTCCTCAGGATGATATGAGGTTTAGGCCTTCTATCAAAAGCCCTGCTGGTGGGCTGGGGATGTAGCTCAGCAGTTCCACCGCCTGACACGCAAGCACAAGGTCCCGAGTTCGATCTCCTGTGAAAAAAAAAAAAGGAAAGAAAGAAAAAAAAAATAATAAAAAGCCTGCTGGATCTTGCAGGAGAAGAATTGAAGATAGCACTTTCTGATTGGTTCCACATGCAGGGCTTTGAGAATTGTTCTGGGCATGTGTCCTGGAACTTTGTAGAGAACTGGTTACCCCCTCACTTCCGAAGGCAGTTTGCACACCCTAATCTCCTTCCTCAGCTTCAAGACGGGTATCTATAACATATATTCATATCCACTTGGCAGACTATGTCAGAACGCAAACTATATATATGTGTTTGAAGTTGAGATATGTTAACCACTAATTTTGCTTCTTCTTTGAGGATGGAAGAAAGTACAATTTATTGGTGAAGAGCCATGTCTTAAAAACCTTTACGACCTTCTTTCTTTCTTTCTCTCTCTCTTTCTTTTTTAAATGAGTTTCCTGGAAGGGAAAAAGACTTGAGTAACTTTTGAGTCCTGAAGCTGCAGTTTTTCTTAAAAGTACAATTTTTAAAATTCCAATGTCTTTGTCTTCTGCCCCCACCCCCTTTCCCCAGTATCTTCTATCCTACCTCACTTCCCTTGGGAGTATACATCTGAAGCATAATGTCAGGATTACTAGCTGTGTGACCATGGACAAATGACTTATTTTCTGTCTATGCTTCAGTCTCATTTAGGTAAAACTGGGAGTAACATAAGCATGTACTTGGAAGGTACATGAGGATTAAATGAATTAATTTCTGCAAAGTAGAGTGCTTGGCAATTATCAGCAGTCAAAAATGGGATTACAGTGGGGACTCCTACTTACCAACAGCTCTAGAAATGTAATTTCAGAAATTATATAACTGCATTCACTCCTGATAGAACCCAGCTATATAAAATTCCTGCTAACTCCAGTTCATTAAGTTCCACTAGAAATGGTAAATGTTTGAAGTGTAACTTCAAGATTTCTGCTAATTATTACACATTAAACACAAGACTTGTGAAGCTAATTCAGGCAGAAAACTCCATTTGTAAAAAAAAAAAAAATATTGAGCCAAATATATATCTACCTCATAAAGTAATTATTGATCTTACTCATCATTAGATTTGTGAAGAGTTGGTGTTGTGATTGCTATTTCCCAGGAATAATAACTTTCAAATTTATATAGACTAAATGAAAACAACTCCACAGAACCTGCATAATTGCATTTTCAGAGTTTATGTATAAAAAAGAAGTCTGAAAATTACTTCAATACTGTTTTTCAACACACTGACTAAACACATTTAAACGGCAAGCGTCACTGTGAAGAAAATGGCACATTTGCCATGATGGCGAGCTGGTTTTCTTTCCTATAGTGGGGCGTGGGACGCACAGGACCCCGGTGTGATGGGTGAAGGGAGGGGAGGAGGACGGCGCCTGCCCTCGCTCCGGGTCAGTTTCTGCCCTTTGGGTTCTGAAGCAGGGACGACCGAGGCAGAAGTGTGGTGTTTTTCCGCTGTGCCCGCCCGAGTCAGGGTGCGAGCTTCTCCCGACTCCCTCTCCTAGGTGCGCCCATCAGCTGCAGTGGGTTCAGGAAGGCAGTGCGGGGCGGAGGCCTCAGCATCCCGTCCCCCCCCGGCCCTGAAGGCCGCGCCCACCCGCTCCAGGGCTCTATCCGCAGGGCCGACGCTGAGGGGACTCGGGGGCCTCGG